ACGCAAAGAAGCCCTTCGTGACGCTTGCAGGGCCTGCTGAGATTGCTGGCTGTGTTCGCAGTGTTTGACGCCGAGAGGTGGGCATCTTATAATTGAGCTTCTTCTCATGTTTGAAGTCGGCCAGGGAAGACGCCGCTGTGAGCTGTGGGTGCCCTGCATATTTGACCGTCAGTTCCGTGTCGGCATGATGACGAAGGGCGGAGCTCACGCCAAAATCGGCCAGAAGAATCCAAACGACGGCTGAACCCATATCCCTTGATGCGAGATGAGCAAGGTATGTCAGAGGACATGGTGAAGCACTCACAGTCATACCCTGACTCCAGGAGACCAACCCGGAGCGATGGGGGAAGAAGGCTTTCAGGGTGACGCTCTCGAATTTTGGACAGTTGGAAGTGGAAACAAAAAGGGACGAGCCGTCGTCAGACCAGACGATTTCCGCCTCCGGTGAGGTGATCATGCTGAGATTGAGATTGATATAAGACACAGCCAGACGTAGAAAGCGACCACATACGCATATAAAGCGGCCATAAAGGGCGGTCGCTGAGACTCATTGGCAGGAATGCCTGTTGGAATTGACGCAGCAGACACAGCAGATGAAAGACCAGGATGCGCTTGGAGACTGGGAACCGTTAGGTAGATGCCGCTGGACGGCGCGGAGGGAGGGGTCGAATAGATTGTTCTTGGTGGCGATTCGTGTTTCTGGATCTGGAAGGCAACTTGCGGAGGGCTGAAAGGGGGAGCGCTACAAGCAATGACACTGAGAGATCATATTTGGCGTGCAACAATGAATGACGCACTTGGGCAAGCCACGAGGAACGACCCGTTGTTGCTCTGACACGATTACGGGCACACGCGACGGCGGCGGCTTGTGTTGTCTTCGTTCCAGAGGAGGAGAAGGGGAGGCCATGATGGGGGAAAGTAAAGAGAAAAGAGATCGTCTCTGGTTAAAGAAGCGCCCAATAGTCTTTGTGACGTGTTTTAATGACTTGAGAAGCCACTCGCCAGCCAATCGGAGCGATGACGAAAACACGGCGAAAACTGCAATTCAGTGTCAATTTAGCTTTGAGTTGCGCAGTTTCGCGGGCCAGGGCGCTCGCGTTTGGCCCCAGCGCCGGAGCTGGCGACGACGACGCTGTCCCAGTCGACGTGTCCCGGTCCCAGATTTTCGGCCAATGGGTTGAATGGAGTTCATCTGTTCGAACTTCTGCTAGTCGTTTCAATGAATAGATATTAAACATGTGCAAAGACACACCATGTGGGAAGCGGCGCCACCGCCCGCGTTGGGCCAGCCATCGCAGTTTTTGGCAAGTCTTCCCGTAACGCGTCACACAAGTCTTCCCGTAACGCGTCACACATCAGGCACCTCTTCCCAAAAACGTTCATCCATGACGGAAGGCGCCAACCTCCCCGCAGCGCCAGCCTCAAGCGCCCTCTGGCCATCCCATTCGATGTCGAGAGACGACTGTCGAGTCCTCCGGCGGGCGCCTGGGCACGGTCGTTGATGCCACGTACGTGGCACTTTCCCTGTCCCATGCTCGTTGCTGACGACTCCCGCTTTAGCCACGACAGCCACGACTCCTTCCCCGGCATTCTACTCCATTCGTCACTTAGCACTGGGAGAGTCTCCCCCCAACACCCCCAGCAGCAGCCACGCGGGTAGAGTCCAACAACTCCCCGACGTCGGACTAGGGTGCAGGATTGAATTCTAGGGGGTTATTAAAACCGGTTTGAACTCCCAGCCAATTTAGAAACCGGTTTGCAAACAGGGATTGATTAAAATTGCCTAAAATGGCGATTTTTAACCTTTTGAATCATTTTTTTATACTAGCATATGTATTTACTTGTCTTTTTACACCATTCCTCAAGCTTTCAGGGTGCCTCTTGCTATCCTAAGTTACATTCTGTGTTGTCTGTATATGGTGTGACCCTATCACCAATGTGACAGTAACACTTTGAGCCTTTAAAAGACCTTTAGTGACATTATATAGAGAGTAACAATGGTTGATTAGTATGCTACCTCTATAGCTGTAACTATAGCTGCTACAGTATACACCAAAGTCTGTCTAAAACCAGTAAATTGCCTAACTTTCCCACATGTGATGTGTTTTGAAACAGCACTTTTTCTAAAAATAATTACAAACAGCGGTTTGAAACAGCTGTTTCAAAACGCGGTTTGAAACACCACTTAAATCCTGCACCCTACGTCGGACAACGCGAGAGGAGTGAAGATGGGACTCGGACTGCGTAAATAGAGGCGGATGTGGACATAACGGGAGACAAGGGTACGTGGTCGTTCCCCCATGCCAACTTTTGCTTATTCTTGCTCAGAGAGCCGGACGTCTCTCTCGACGTTGTCCACATATAACGCGCTTTCTGTGCGCGCCACTTTCCAATCCCAAACATTTGGCCCTACTGTTATCTGCCCAACGGTGTCGACGTCAGATGAATCAAAGATGGGCGGGCGTGAAAAAGAGGTGGTCAAGTGGATAACAGGAGACGAGGGTGTGTGGGCTGTTCTCTCCCTGCGCGTTTTAAGACTCACGGTCGTCATTTTGCCCAGATATCCCCGTGTTCGCCCTATAGATGTCTCTCTTGACGATCTCTTCACAATCGTCAATGTGCATGCCGCCGCCGCTCTCAATTCCGACCCTTCGACGTCCACCATGGTCTTTATATGCCATTCCTGCTCCTCCAACACCAGTCATTCGCGGTTTTCTCCTCCATCCGCGACTGTAGGCCCTCTACAGGCTCAGTTCGCCAGATTGCTTCGGGCCCCCACATTTCCCTCTCCCTCCACAACGACTTTCCCAGCGGCGAGATGCTGTCGGCGCGACACAGCCCAGGGGTCGAGCTCCGTCGCAGCCCGTTGCCGGAGTCGTATGTCCAGAGTCGCCGCATCTACAGGTTCTTCCGTCTGTGCCAGTGTCGAGATACCGCCCTCAGCTTGAAGCTGCTGACCACCGTCCACCGCCAGTCTGTACCGTGCCCCTCGTCATCCTACCTTCTTCAATGCTTCAAGTGTTCTATCCGGTGCCAACCATCACTGGTTCGCGACATCTCTAGCCGTCGTATCGCTTGCGAGAAGGTATGTGCGACCTCTCAGTGAACGCTGTCCCGTGCTTACTCGAATCCAACAGGGACGTAAACATCAATTGTGTGTATTGCGGTTGGGCGTTACTCCTAGACACAACATGTGCGCAAACCCAGTCTACGATGTAATGAAGGTCGTGTTTTGAATGATGTGTTTTGAATGCGTTAGCAGATCAACGACGCCTGGAGCGGGTGTCCATACCATGTCGATGCGCTCGACTGCGAGAGTTTTGGACTCGTGCGCGAGCTTCTTCAGGTCCATCGTGACGTTTGCGGTGTAATGGCGGACGATCTGCTGGACATGGTTGCAGAGCCAATTGGCCAACGTGTCAAGCGAGTAGCACCCGACGAACAGGAGATGTTCCCATCGTACAGCAGGTCGACAATACGCTCCGCGATGGGTACGCAGCGTTGGTGGTATCCGAGGATAGCATCAGGATATATAAAGGCCTGGGAACGATCGTAAGCATCGGATTCGGTCTTGACCCGCACTCACGTCGAGGTAGTGTCCGGGGAGGTCGGATCCCTCCCTCAAATGAGCCGCACGGGGAGTCCCGGCTTCTCCGCGGATGGTCCGCATCACGCGCCGGCGCACGTGCGCATGACGCGTCTTCTCCCGAACGCCCATGTCGCTTCCCACCCACCAATCCCCACTGCTTGCCAAGACGCGGCGCTATGCAGCCACAAGCCGGCATCCTTTTCCAACCAAGCAGCTCACACTGGCGATAAACTGTGGTCTATACTGGCAACAGGCTCTGCGCTCTTGGTTGAGCCCGTCTATCTGAGTGCGAGATGATGCGTCGCGTGTGCGCCACGCCCCTCCTGTGGGTTAGCGCGGGCTAGGCTGGATTCGCCGCTGGAATGATCTCTTGGGCCGATCGCGAGGCTGAAGCTGAAGGTAAGATTCATCGCGATTTTCTCCGCTGTATTGAATCCTGATGGCCAGATCGCATCACGCCCAACTTATCTATGCTAGCGCGAGCCCCAAACCGACTCGCGCCGAGAACGATGAGTGTGCCAGGATGTTCTCCACTCGGTACTCGGGCCCGCGGCGAGCAACAGCCAAGCCTTCCACTATCCGCATCTTCCGTCCTTGCTTGTTTCGACAACACGTAGCCGGCGTTGATACCTTGTTGATACCTGTCGAGGAACTTCGCTCGGTGAATGCGCCGTGTGCGCTATGTCTGCGCGAGTATCGCTGTGTGCGGCGAGGCTATCGCAAGTTAATCGCCGCTATCCCCTCCCGCATCGGCATCTTGCACGCATCCCGCTACAGCCTCGGTCGAGCCGGCTTGCCAGATCCGCAGCTCCTGGTTCGACTGGAGCCAAGCCCGCTTGAAAGCGGCCTGCACGGCGGCGCTTTCCGGACACCGAACGTAAAGCCACTGCTTCGCTAGGCTGCCCGCGATGGCGACAAGATCGGTATCGCTCCTCGCTGGTTGCGAGGTGGAGTCGGGAGCCCGCATCATGGAGATGTGAAGGGACCGGGTTTGTCTGCCAACTCGATGCTAGAAAGACGTGGTGTGGGCGTGCCGAGGGTGGTGCTAGTGCAGCTAGTCAGGGCTTACGGCACACCAAAGAGCCCAACGCATTAATTCGGGAGAAGTCGATGCGACGAGTACTGTCGTGCCGGGAGCTGCACCCCAGATTCTCCCTCGTTCGCGCGGATTCAACGCCTATCGGGGCCTGCACTATCGCGGACGCTCGTGCATGGCAGCCTGTCCCTCCTGGGCTAACGCGTGCGTTCTCTATTGTAGAGACATTACGCGCCTTCTTTCATGCTTGTGCGACAAAGGCCACATCACACGGCACGCGACGCTCAAGCTGTAGGACTATCTCTGTGTCTCGAAAGCCGAATAAGTATAATGTGTGCGCTAGCTTGCATAGAAATAAATGATTATTGACAGTTTTCACTGGCCACTGAGTACCTCGATACTAACATCCATCCCAAGCTCCTTCACCTCGTCCCACACCGCGTTCCGCAAGTGCTGCTCCGATTCATTCATGTAAATTCGGAACAGCAATGTCGGCGTGAAACTGCGGTCCACCCATGAGCGGCAGAGGGGCACAAGCCGTCCAACGAAGTGCGTGAGCGAGCGAGTGAGCTCAGGGAAGTTGGGGGGCTCGGCTAGTGCGAGGCCGATGATAACGTGTTGTACCGGGCTTGGAATATCAATGCAGCATATAACCATCTCCACAACGCTGTATAAGGTAGGCGACACAACGTTGGCGTCGATATCGATCGTCAGCTCGATAGTGTGTAGCTTGGAGAGGTGGCCTATGTCAAGCACACGTGGGTCTAAAAGACAAATCCCGTTTATTGTAAGATTCAAGAGCAAGAAGTGTGTAGGACTTGCATACCAGTAGAGGTGTCAAAGCCCAAATATGTTAGCTGGAGGTGCTCGAGCTCGACAGCGTGCTGCAGGACCTGCACCTGCGCCGCGTACGCCTCATATATCGAAAGTGGGAAGGTCAAGTGGACATGTCGTAGCCGTGCTAGGTTAACGAATCGCGCAAAGATGGGGTCCGAAAGCTCTCGGAGTGGATTCGGGTGGAGCTCAAGCGATTCAAGATTGAATCTGGTTAAATTCTGCTGTTCTGCATCTGGAGAATCGAGGGCAAGAGGGATGTCGGCGTTGAATTGCGCATTGTACAGGGCCAAGTGGCGCAGCACTGGCGGGGGTTGCTGGGGAGGGAGGAGCTGGAGAGCGATGCTGAGATCCGCAGAGTATAGCTCCAGCGTGTGCATGCTCGGGAGCGCCGCCAAAGCTCGCAAGGCCTCCAATGTCTCGGTGTGGAAGTACTGCCATGTGATGCTCGCGTCTCTCAGGCTGTACTCGCGGCAGTCGACCACGAGGCTGGTCAGACGCGTGAATAACACAAAGTGGGGCAATATTGCGCCAACCCAGTTGTTGGAATGTGGGCAGACGACGGTGAGACAGCGAACGTAGGAGGCGATGTGTGTGGCCTTGGCGAGAAATGCGTCAAGGCCCTGAGGTGGCGCCACGGAAGTTCCAGGGAGAGACGACGGCAAGAGTGTGAAAGACGTGAAGAGCCGCTTTTGGGCGGGTACACAGAAGGTGTGGCAGACAACGGCGGAGGCCTTGAGCGTCTTGCAGTCGTCAATGAAGCCGATGACGATTTCAAGGAGCTCGGGGGGCAGGGACTCTGCTTATTGTGAGTGCCCTCTCGCTAAGCAGCGAGAGTCACCCACCTGAGGCCATTGGACACGATTCGCGCGTGGTGGTGGTTCAGGACAAGCGGGACGGTCACTGTGACGGGCAAAGTGGCGTGATGTGCTAGCACATCAAATGAGTGATCCGAAGACGCGATCATTGCCGTGCTTAGTCACACCTTCTTTTCTCTTCACGCGACCACCACCATGCCAACGCCCTTGTCGACGCCGCCGGAACTCTGGCTGGAGGTTTTCAAAGCTCTTCCAACAGCTGCCCTTGCATCTGTCACAGAGACAAGCCGTGCTTTCGCCGCCCTCGCACGGCCATTGCTCTTCGCGCATTTCGAGTTTGTACCATATGACTGCAGTATGGCTTGACGGGATGGGGGCTGGGATATGGTCTATCATCTATTGGGGGGAGAAGAGCTCCAACGTGCTGCCTCCATTCTGGACACTTGGACATCCAACTCTATCGCCCCCTTTGTCCTGTCCTGCACAATTCGGCCTTCGCGTTCCCCACGTATGCATTCAGTGGTCGCGGAGGACAACGAGGAGGCCGCAATGCGGCTCTCGGGCCTGCATACCTTCTTCTTGCGCTTATCTCGCTTCACGAAACTCAAACATCTGCTTCTGGACGATGTCACCCTGCCAACTGATGCATTGACCAACATTTATCATCTGCTGCCGTCTCTAGAGGTCCTGCGTATTGTCTGTCTCTTCTCCCGACAGCCTATGACTTTTGAAAACGCCGGAGCCTTGGTGAAGCTGCGCAAATTGGTGCTGAAGATAGAATCCCAGTACACCATGACCACCACCGCCACCCTCGCTGCGTATCGACCATTCTTTGGCTCTGCGACCCTGAAAGAGCTCAACCTCACCTGCAACCTACGTGCATGGAGCGAGGCCCCACACGACATCCCACATTTCCCACCGTCAGCCACCTCAGAATCTACCCCAACTTGACCGTCCAGCCAGTGTTTGCTTCCCTGCTTCCCAAGTTCCCCGTGCTCAAAGATTTCACTATCGTTGGCATATCTAATGTGCACCCAGCCCTCTCCGATATTGTTTCAGGGTGCCAGTCACTGGTCAGCACTGTTGCGCATCTGTCAACTGGGTCTTCCGCTGTGGTGGAGCTTTTCATCCATGGTAATAAATCGGCTCTCAAGAGCCTTAACTTTCTGCCGGGAGATGACATATCAACACTGTGCAAGCTAATGCAAATGTCCCTCCCGCTATTGGTGCGTCTTTCGCTCAATCTGCCAACCGCAAAGGCATCCCTCCTTGCGCCAATGTGGGCCTGTATGCCTGCGCTGCACTCATTGAAGATCAATTTCACGCGGGTGTTCACGGGAGAGGACCAGCCGGACGCCTCAGAGGAGGGTAAAATCGTGGGTGGCCTCTAGTCGTGTACTGCCAATTGCTCACGCCCCCCAGGCACCATCTTACTTACTAAGTCTTTGCGCCCCGCATTCGCTTGCGCCGACCTTACAGACCCTCGTGCTCAAATGGCACTTCTTGTTCTTGCAGCCCCGCATGGCCCCAACAGCTGGCCCATACCGACTTCGACCTTCCCGCCGTTGCAGCCTCCCTCGCCGCAGCGACTCCGACACTCACAGCGATTGGCGTGGACGCAGCCTCGTTTGCGCTCCGATGGCAGTGTCGCGCGGCAGCGACGGGTTTGCTCCGCGGAGAACCCTGGGTGGACGAGGCGGCGTTCGCTGCGGAGAACATACGTGTGTGGTGCCTTCCGAGCAATGACCAGTGGGGCAATGACTTTGTCTTTCAGCTGTGTATGGACGCATTCAGCGCGCAGTCGAGCAGATCTGGGAGGATGAAGGCCTCAGGTTATATGGGTAGCAATATGTGCATTACTTGTAACTGAAGTCTCCCATCGAAAGCCAATAGGGAATCAGATTGCTGTAGTTCGGAGTATTAACATTATTGCTGAAAGCGAGTGGTATTGACAAGAAGCAATTTTCAAGATATACGCCAGTAATTACTGTCGACACTGAGCGGAAAATGCGGGATCTGTCTGGAGAGACGCCTGGGCCCCGTGGATGGGACCATTCGAGCCCTTAGTGCAATGAACGCGCCGTGCTCGGTGTCCGCGCGCAGCGGATGGTGGCGATCAGGAACATGGTCTGGCCGAAAAAGGAAAACACATCTTCTCTTCTTCCTTCATGTCGACCGCTCCGTCAACCACACCCAACGCGCTGTACGCGCTCGAATCCTCTGCACCGCACTGTTCTCGAACAAGCTCGTGGATAGGCCGCGCCAGAGCCTCACGGTCGATGACGTGGCACCTTTGCCTGCCAAGGACGAGGACGACGACGGGAGACCGGTTGGTGGGCTGGCTGGGGGAGAGGGAGGTGTCTGAGGGTGCGGTGCAGGGACTTATGGGGGCGATATGCAGAGCTTTTAGAGCTCTCAATGGTGCGTTATAAGTTGGCTGATAGGTACACTTACTCACGCGGCCTGCCTTTCGTTGACAGAGTTCTGCTGGGTCTTCCACCTCCATACACACACGACTTCGCGTATATTCCCCGCAAATACAGCTCCTCCCAGGCCCACATGTAGACCGTGGAACGAGCCAAGGCTGAAACTTGGTCGTTTTGGCTTGGTTGACCACGACCGGCTCATGCGTCGGGAGAACTAAATCCATACATCTTCAAACTCGACACAAGCCCCGGCGTGAATCTCCGCAACAGACTGCAGGGTTCAAAGTGCGTTCTTTAACCACTTTTCTGCATTTTCAAGCTCAATTTTTGCAGTACTTACTCTTCAAATGTGCTAGCAACGCCGAATTCTCTGCCCTCTCCTCATCCCAAACCGACCGACCTTCCGCTCTCCCCGACCACGATATATGCTATCCTCAACGATAAAAACCGGCTGGCCACCGTTACCATCGGTTTGACACCGAATATGGCCCCAATACCCCTACCACGAATAACGTCCTTCGGTGGCCTTAAACAACTCGACAAATAGCTTCCCGCACCTTCCCCTACCTCAGTGCATCACCCGCCGCTTCGCCAGCACAATTCGCTTGCGTCGTTCTCAATGTCGTCAATGCCCTCCTCCTCCTACATCGCATAATGCAGCCTTTCGCCATCTTCTTGCCATCAAAACGTACCCGTCGTCTCATGGAGGTCTAAAATCAAGGCGGAGAGGATGTGCGTGCTATAAAACGCTGTCGCAGCGACGTTTTGGTGAAAACATTGTTGATACGGCCGATAGGCCTTCCTCATGGCTTGCAGGCCTTTTCCGCCTCGAACCACGACTTACCCAACGACTATTCAGCGCCCTTGACCACGTCCATTTACTCCTCCGCCATTTCGCGGCTCCGCTTCCGAGCTCGTCACCTCTTCCTCGGCACCTACACACTATCCACTTTCCGGCCCCGTTTCTCCTTCTGAAACCCAACGCGCTTTCATCCACGGATAATTCCACTGAGGAGGGATGATATCAGTACTCCAGCCCATCGATTTCGACCGCCGCCATCGCAGAAGATGGTGACACGACCCATATCGCTTCTACAGATCACATCAGTATCGCCCATCAGATTTCAGCCAACGTCGTGCCCGGATTGCATTTAGGCCCGTTAGTAATGCCCCGTTTGTCCCATCAGCATTCGACGACCTGATTTCGAGCTCGTTCCTCCCCTGCGGGCCGGGCCGGTCGGAGTCCTGTCCGCCACTCTCGCTTCCTCGTTTGTGGCGGTACTCTCATTCACAATGAAGGAGGCTCTTGTTTTCAAGCAGGACACCATACGGCCGGCGGATCCTTTTCATGCTCTCTCTCTCTCTACAGCCAAATGTTGATCAAATGAGACTTCTTCTGCGCAGACTTTCGTGCGCCAACAAACAACATCGAATCTTCACCCCGCCTGTCTCAATGTCGCCGACTCACTATACCCTGCGCTCCCATCGACATATCGCCCCATCCGACGCTCTTTCTGCTTTTGCCTCATGCATATCCTGCGTCTCGGACATATGGAGTCGAGATCGTCGTCATTGCCTCTCTTCAACTTCTCCACCAGACTCTGCTCCTTATCCTCAATGACATCTCGCGATCCTGTTTAAGAGCGATGTTGTAGCGGACATGCGCAGACGATGGCTCCGCATCTCGAATGGGGCGACGAGCGCTGTCTTGCATTGGTCCTGCCAACTCGAGCGCGATGTGCGTGTGCTTGACGGGGAGGGAGGTGATTTGGCTTTGAGACCGGCCGTGATAGGTGGATTGGGTAGCTCTCAATTCTCATTGTTTATACAGTGTCTAGTTTTGTTAACGCACGTTACAAGCCTGCCGATCGTCCGCCGCACGCAAAAGGCAGTCCACTGCCTCCGAAAGATCCTGAGCACGTGCAATCACCGTGGTCCGTGCGCGACTCGGCGCCAATCACGGACTGATCCTCCTTGCTTCTTCCTACCATACGCCCTTGCTCGGGACGTTGTCTGCGGAGTCCTTCAACGTCAACTGCGCGACCTGGCGCGTATCCTACACAAACTGGACCAACTCATGGGGTGACTTATGCCCGTGCTGCTGCATGCACCACTCCGCCGCTTCCGAGCGCCACCCGACGGTAAGCAACCTCTTACTTTCATTAAGCGTTGTGCATGCTGACATTTAGTTAGCCTCGGAACCAACGCTTCTCTTCTAGACTCGGTAACTCTAACCCGTTCGGCTGGGACAGTGGAGACTGCTAGGGTATAGGAAGGCCATGCATGGCAAGTGCCCAACTCAGGTCAGTAATAGGCAGTCATTTGCTTTATACGGCGAGTGCCTCACTGAACACCGAACTCCTCCAGACTGTTTGCGCATGGCGGTGAATTCCGTGGTCGGCGGCCCGGGCGGGCGCATTTTCTGAGAGATGATGTTAATGGACAGTGGCGCTCAAGTTCGTTCCTCGTTGCTCCTGCAGTATATAAACACTGACGGCCAAGGCTGCCCTTGCACCCTTCGACGCCTTCTCTTCTTCCCCCAAGATGAACGACAGTACCACCCGCAAGACAAAAGGCTTTGATCAGCGTAAGTTGTTGCCGACCATCCTCCTCAGGCTCTGCGCGGCTCATATGGATGCAGTGGTGTCCACGGCTTCTGACCTTGCCTTCTGCTCGTCAGACGGCATGCTCCTCAAAGTCCACAGCAAAAATCTCGAGGTCCACTCGGACGTCTTCGCCAACATGTTTGAGGCGGCGACCGACAAGCCAGGCGAGACCATCGCGTTGTCGGAGCCGGCCGCGGTTCTGGAAGTGCTGTTTCAGTACATGTACCTCCAGCCGCAGCCAAATCTCGACGCCATGAGGTTCCCTGTCTGCGCTGCAGTTGCGGAGGCGGCAGAGAAGTACCTGGTGTACAGCGCGATGCCGGCGCTGCACGCTCACATGCGGTGCGTCACTTGGCTTCCTTCTTTCTTGGGCAAACTCACTTCTCGCCCTTCAAGCGCTAATATCCCGCGTCACCCCCTCGTCGTGCTGAACTTTGCGGTACCACATGAGTTCGTGGACCTCGCCAATGACGCCGCGCGGTATTGCTTGCAATTTTCGCTCGAAAAGGCGGTGGGGGTCTTGCGGCCGGACGTTTTCGCGAGATGGGTGCGTTGCCATAGCTGATGCGATAACTTTTTTTGCTCAATCCATTTTGCAGGCTGTATTCTATGACAACTGGCACAGAGGCGCCGCGCGGGTGCTCACCAACCAGCGCACATGGGATACGACCAGCTATGGGGAGCTCGAAGACCTGCTGCGACGTAACCCCCACAAGTGCTTCACCGAAGCGGAGAAGTGGCAGAGGGTAAGCGGCCAGATGTCGGAGGTCGAATTTGTAGCCAATGAGTTCATGTGATAGAATCGTAAGGCACTATGTGCTTAGTGTTCAAGTTGAAGTATATCTCCGGAAGGCTCTTGCAATTTTTGCAAGCAACTTGCAAAAGCGATCTGCGAACTAGAGCAATGCGAGTAAATGGACACTGTGGCCAGCCGCAGTGGAAACTCAAGAATTGCCAGCAATATGTTGGTCAACTGATCGACTGTTGCCGGCGGTTGTCCGGGCCAGCTATACTGATACGACCGCGTGGCCAGAGAGGATGGTCGTCGAATGGGTGTTGGTAGGAGCATATGAATGAACAGTTTGAAGCAAGGTAGTCAGACAAGAATATGTAAATATTCATAACAAGTCCATGAGAAATAGTGTAGGACGATGTGATATGAACGGGCAGAAAGCGTCCTCGACATAACGAGCATTAAAACGGAGACGTCAAATAGGTACCGGGGAGATCGGCATGGAAGAGGAGAACGAATACGTAGTTGTCGGGGAACTCGTAGTGTAAGTAAAAAAAGGCTGAGACCCAGGACAAATTTGTGTCGGTCTATTGGCAACGTTTGCACCGAAACGTGCGGGACACAGGGTTTTGGGGACCGCAGATCGTGTCTGGTGGAAGCGATGGCCTTCAACAGACGACAAGTACGATTTAACGTTCAGAGGATAGCCGAGGACAACGTTGTCGGATGTGGGAGGATAAGAGCATCGGTGGTGTCGAGAAGGAGGCGGGCGAATCGTCCTGGGGGGAGTAGCGAAGCCGTTTGTTGGGGGATGAAAGGCCGTCGGGGAAAGTTGTTTGTGTGGGGGAGAATTGGCGCCATATTCGACAACGAGCACTGGAAACGAGGTAGAGCCGTATTGGATCGTTGGCGAAGACGAGGATCGCTGTCCGGAGAGGGGGGAGGATAGTGTTTTGGGATGAGGAGGAGGAGTACCGCGTCTAAACTTGAAGCAGTTCTGCAAGAGATGAGTTTAACGATTCAGAAAACGGGACAAACAACGCACTTTCGACCCTTAAAACCGTTGCATACGGTCTACGCAAGGCGTACGTGCCCCGGTAGGCAAATGAAGATCTTTCGTTGAACGCGGTGGGTCGTCTAAGCCCAAACGATGGAGGTCTGGCATTGCGGGCCTTCCATCATCGACATGAGGGGGCCTAATTAAGGCTGTAGTTCCTGCGAAAAGCGATTTCGAAGTGAGCAAGCGTCCATTCCAGAGGATAACGCACCATTCAGCCCACTACAGGCGCTTTATAGCGCACCAGGGTCGCTCCACATTTCTCTGCTTTAGCCAGCGATGTCGATCCGCCGCTCGTTGTCGTCCTTGGCAGCGGTGCCAGGTCATCAGCATTGCGGCTGCATGAAGCGTTAGCGGGCGCGGGAGACGTGATATATTTGACCACGTACGCGTTGTTCGCCCCAGAGCTTGCCAATATGCCTCCGTGGCTCGTTCTGCGCGCAACGCGACAAGACCGAAGGGTTTCCCAGTTCCTGCAAGAGCTATCAACGGCGGCGACAGGATTCCGAGCAGCCTAAGCACCGTGGGCACCTCTTACTGGTCCGCTTGTTGGCCCTCCGGTATCGTTGCCCCCAGGCGGGGCCAATGTGGCTGTTGCTGTCCCCGACCCAAGCACAAGTCTCTCGTCAGCAGCCTGCAAAAAGAGCGCAGTGAGCAGCTAGACTGTCAAAAGCGAGTGTTGCTCACCGCTAGCAGGACCATAGCGCGGCGGACTAGGCGAGGGCGGAGGGGGAACGGAAGGAAGGAACGGGAAGATCTGCGTGATTGACGGGGCGCGCACGGACCATGCGGTGCCGCACGTGCCACGTCAATCGCGTCTTCTTCCCGACGTCCATGTGCCCGGATGCGGCCGTGCCCGCTGTGCATGCCTGGCGTCCGCTGAGGAGCGGGCCATGGGCTTGAGCCATGGGCGTTGACGGAGAAGCGCGTCACGCACACGTGTGCCTGTCACGCGTACACGTCACCCTCTTCCTTCCTTCCCCTCGCCCCACGATCTGGGCTTGCGGTGTAGTCCGCTTGTTGGGGGTGCATGCCGCGTTTGGGACCCATACAGCGCTGCCACGGGGGCCGCAACCCCTCGCGCGCGGCCAAGCGGGGGGCGCTGGCCGCAACTTAACGACAACTTAACGAGGCGCGTGCAACGGGGAGGACTCGTCAAGGCCAGCGAAATGGGCCCAGATGGCGGGAAGGGGTGAATATATGGGAGCTCTGAAGCTGGCGTATAATTGTGTGTGGCTTGTGGGCTCGGAGCCGTTCTTCTCAACCACTGACACGTTCTTATACAGACAGCCCCACCATTTCGATTTCCCCCTCGACACAAAACTTCCCGCTCCTGCTCTCCTCCCAAGCACCATCCGGCTCCCCCCGCAAAATAAGCAGCTCACGTGTGGCGCTGCTATGACGGGAAGCTGGGCCACTGTTGTCATGGATGGACAACGAGTCAACGACGAGCACGAATTCCCGCTCGTAGCCACCTAACCTGCCCACTTATCCCCTCTAGTTAGAGCCTCAGGGGGGGTGAAGCTCTAACTAGAGGGGATAATGGAAATCTGCGGTGTTTCCTTAAACTCGCTTCTGGATGTTAGTGGACAGGATGTTAGTAGACGGGAGGTCTTTGGGGGGAAGGGGGAGGCCGGGTGGGGGGAGCGGGCTGGGGAGCGGGCTGGCCGGAGCATCAAAGGATGATCACCGGATGACACGATGACAGCGAAGGTCATCATCGCTGTCTGCTGTCAAGTCCCGCCCTCCGCCCCCCCCCCCCCCCCCTCATCCCATCACTGCCATCAAAGTTACTGATGGCTGCTGATCTTGGGGTCGCCCATGGTCCCGCCCACCGTCCCGATCTGATGGCGCATCAAAAAATGAAAGTTGTGCAGAATGCTCTGCTGATACCAGATGTACAGACCGTTTATTAATAGCTTGAGTAGTTAAGGAGATACAAGCCTTTTGATCTAGTGATGGATGAGTCGGAAGTTAGTAGACATCTTTTATAAGTGATATTTGGAGGATTTTAGTATGGTATGGGTATGTAGGGCAATTTGGGTGTCAGTCCCGGTGTCAGGGGAGGTTATAGGTAGGTAATGGTGATCCTAGCTGTAAGGGTCCTCTCTAATAACTTATCCTATCCACTAACTTCAGGTTATGTTAGTAAGGGCTAACTATGTACAGTATGCACATGTAGGTCCTCGAGCAACATATATAAGTAAGTCTCTATAGAAGGTGTTGGGACTGTCAGTAGGGGATATGAGGCATAGTTGGCAAGAAGCCACGATGTCCACTAACTTCCTTGCCTGTGAAGTTAGTAGACATCTTTGATTACTTGGGGTTATAAAACAGGAAGGGGGGGAGCAAGGATGGCTTTCAAGGCCATGGGAGATATACTGGAGTGCCTTTCGTCCTGCTGAAGTCCAGCACTTGTGACAATATAGTTGAGTATGTCTACTAACTTCTGAGCTAGGGAAGTTAGTGGACATCTTCCATCACTGTGGTCGATAAACCGTCCAAAGGGTACAACTGTGAGGTGTGAAGCTATGGAAGGTATCCCTGGAGGGCTTTGATCCCGAACAAGTTCAAATTCAGCATAGTAAAGTTTGGCATGTCTACTAACTTCGTGCTCGCGGGTTAGTAGACACTCACTTTGGTTCAGAACGCGTTTGGTGGGCACAGATGCGGGATGTGGGGCTATGGGACATCTGCTTGAAAGCCCATCTCGTTGCCCTACTGTACGCATCGACGATAGTGACATGGATGGGAGTTAGTGGACATCCTCAGTTTGTAAGGGTCCCCCCTTACGATGTAGAATGTCCACTAACTTCGTCGGTGCATTGGTCAACAACGCAGCTGGTGGGCACATATATGGCGCATCTCAGACCATTTGAGGTCTATCGGGAGAGTTCTCCCCTGGTGGGAGGCTGGAGCGGTGATACTTTAGATGACCCTGTCTACTAACTTCCGTGCTCAGGAAGTTAGTAGACGCGTTTCACTACTTTGGTCCATAAAATAGGTGGTGGGCTCCGACATGATATTATATGCCCTAGAAAGCTCAGTGGCAGGGTTTTCCCCCCGGTGGAGGGCTGGAGCGGTGATACTTTAGATGACCCTGTCTACTAACTTCCGTGCTCAGGAAGTTAGTAGACGCGTTTCACTACTTTGGTCCATAAAATAGGTGGTGGGCTCACATATACCATGGACATCCTCCCCTCTGTGTGTGTGCTTACTAGTGTGCAAAGGGCCCCTTGAGAATCTCACGTCCACTAACTTCCGGCCAAGGAAGTTAGTGGACCGGAAGTTAGTAGATGCCTGGCACGGAAGTTAGTGGACCCTCACACGACTTCCCCGACTACTACCGTGATAGTTCACAAGGCTATGGACCTTCATGAGGACCGTACCGTCAGTACCCAGCTAGCGGCCGATTATCGGCCCCGTTGTGACACTGACTCTGTGACCTTCCTTCCTTCTTCTTCTCCTACCACCCACCATGCACTCCATCCGCTGGCTAGTCTCAGCCCTTACTCCCCGCAAGCCCTCGAAGCAGCCTCAGTCCCCAACGCCATCCCCGCCCACGACACCACAGGCTCCCGATGTACCCAAGCCAACGCCTTCGCTCGAATCCTTCGCTAAAGCCATGGCAAACCGCAGTCTCACGACTGAAGGGCCCCCAGAGACTCAAAAAAAAAAACACCCTCCCCCAATACCAATACGAACGATGCAAAATCAAGCAGCCCGTCCCTGGATGAGGACGATGAACTGGACCTTCTCATATCCGGTCTGACAGAGGAGGAGCTCGCAGCTATGGGTTGCCAGCCGGACAAAGGCCCCCCCAAGCCAAGGAAAAGCGTCGACTGGGTCTACAACAATGTTTTCCAAACAGGGCCCTCTAGCGCCACGGATTCGGGTTGGATGACGGAGGAGGAGATTCAGGAAGAGATTAGAAAGGCTCGCAAGAGAAAGGAGGATAAGGCAGCTAAGAACAAGAAGAACAAGCGTAGGATGGTTGTCGTCAGCCCCCAATAGTGGTAGTGCGTCGGGGAAGT